GCTCGACGTTGGCAATCAAACTTAACGATGCTCAAGGCAAGCGGGGTGTTTGGTAAAGGATGAGACCGTGCAAAGTGGGATAGGTTGCTCAGCAACCGAAAGAGTTGTGCAAAGCTCATAGAGGTGAAGGGAATTGCTAACTCGAAGAATCCGGTACTTATGCAAGGGCTTGTATGCGGATAATGGAATGTTTGTGGCTTGCCCAAGGCGAATGAAACTCGGCACTATGGAGCATTGGAACTTTCTCTTCGGCATGAGAAGGTTACGTCCGTAGAAGGCTGAAGTGTATAGCGAGTTCAGCATGTTGCTACGCCTTAAGGGGTGCAGCGGGGGCTGTATTGGCGAGGAGTCGTAAGCTAGTAAATGAGTTTATGGGGGCAGAACAATGCATAATTTATTCAGCAAGGTGGAGTAGTCCAAGGAGATGGTGATCTTCGAAACTTTCAAAGGGAAGGATGCGAAGAGAGAAGTTGCTTTAACGAGACAGATATCCAGAAGGGATAAGTCTCGGTTCTCCAAAGAGAAAATCATGTGTACCGGATCGTACATCTTGAGGAGGAGTATCTCAAGACAACAATTCCACAAAGCTCAATGGACCAAACGAGTGGCGAGGAGTCGTCGCATGATCTCACAGGAGGTAATGTGTTGGTGGACGCATTGGGAGATCAAGTGGGGGAGCGACCCAATGCAACACCAAATGAAGGCACACTTGGTGCCGATATGAAGATCGGACTTAACAGAGGGCTAACCCATGGAATGGTGGGCGCGAGGACCACCATCAACCCAATGCAAATCGAGGAGCAAAGCAACTTGAGTGTAACTTGGTGAAGTACTTAAGTCGTATGAAGGGAGTCGCATAGAAGATGAAATATGGAGCGGAAGCACGAAGCTTTCTTTGGATAGAGGTTAAGGACATGAACTCTCATAAAGGCAAGAGCGGGATCATGTCGTTCCATGGGTCTCTCATTCTGATGGAGTGAACTCATCCTACATGGTGCCAAAGACGATGGGAGCTTCGAGGCACATGCACCTTATCTCGAAGAAGCATTTGATGGAGGAACTAAAGCGACTCAACTTGCGGAGGCAAAATTGAGGTCAGATGGCCTTGGCACAAGGCAAGAGGACGTGAAGGTGGATACTCTTGAAGAATATGTTATAGTGTTACCATTCGAGTTGCCATGAAGGAAGCGATGTGCAGCGGAGATTGTGTTGGTGGGGGCAGAACCCTAGGATCCAGACAATGGTACACCAATTTCCGCGAAGTTAATGGACTTCGGGAGCTACTAGTTGACGAATTGTCTTAGAGCTATGCTTCGTTTGGATATGACTTGAGAGTGGGTGGATGAAGGTCGATTGCCAAAGGAGTGAACATAATCGGAGATGGTAGAGGCCTTGTAATGTGTTGGCAGTGGCCACGCATAGAGAGATCATAATCTGAGTTCATCCCACAATGATCAGTATGCAATGGAGATGTCACCAAGAGGCGACATGGTGCAACAGATCATGGTGAAACAGTTCGAGGCAATGCGACACACACGAGATAGGTCTCGCGAGGGATTGGATCATACGGAGGTATAGATTCAATGAGTGAATGTCATGGTATCGTAGAGGCGGGTCTTCCGTGCGTTCATCTAATTTTGCATCGAATAAAAGCCTTGGTCATCAGTATATAGGGGCTGTGTATCACAAAGGGGAAATTCCAAATGTAAATACTAGTGAGTTCCATGGGGGACTTGATTATACAAATGTGTAATCAGAGCGATTGGAGAGTTGGACTACTCTAAAGCTCATATTCGCTTAAGGGAGCCCAGCAAGTTAGAGGACAAGGTCGAGAAAGCGAATGTTGCTACCAAGGAAGCTGAGGAGAATAGAATCGGCATGAGCCTTGCAACATGATGGCGGAGGCCATGCATAGGAGTTGTAATTTATCTTTTCATCGATCAAGGTGAACTACTTGAAGAGCACATAATCGTTGAAGCAGGTGGTCGAAAGGGGCGAGGAAGCGACGACGAGTCCAGAGGGGCTCAGCTACTCAAAACCAAGCATCGATTAGCATGGAGGTGGACTCGAAAGAGTACCGTAGTACCGCAGAGGTGGATTTATCGATCGTGAAGAAAGGGACGCAGATGCAAGGCGACTAATAGTAGGGCCATAGGCATGGCAGCGCGATGGTGTCGCAAAGGTAGGACTTCTGTGGAGTCATCGATCCCTTGCTCTCATGAAGGGAAAGCGCTTGGTCGTGAAAGGGGTCGACGAGGTGGAGAATGCAAAAGCAAACTCCAAGTACCGAGACAAGGTTGAAGGGTAGAGGCCAGGAAATTTCGTAAGACTGATGTCAACAAGCTTCTTATCAAGATAGCAAAAAGTGGAGGACTTCGGGTCGATGCAAGAGTGCTCGACTAAGGAACGAAGTAGGCAGTATGTGGTGCTGTACTTTTGCTACTTAGAGGAGTAGGGGGTAGAGATGATGGAGAAGACGGTGCAATCTCAAAGGCAACTAAAACTATTAGAGACTTGCTTCAAGTTGAGGTGAAAACTTCTTATATTATAGAAGTTTGATGGCATTGAGAAGGTAAATCACATAAGTTAACTCAACGCAAGGAGTGCAAAAACTTCGAGTGCTTCATAAGTGTGAGCAAAGAGTGGGCGAAGGCTAGTAACCAGCTCAATGCATGGAGTACAACCCTTAAGGAAGCGTGCGAAGTCAAGTAACCTTTGCCTTGTCAACTTTTAAGAGAATGGGCGAAGCCGAGTATCCCAATTCTCTTATTTATCTTGCAGAGGAGCTTTGCACAAGTTCAAAGACTCTTCGAAGAAACCTAATGGAAAACAATAGTTGTCAAATCCTCACCAATGGTGATCGGTGCTTTTGAGAGTAGATTGTCCGCTTTATTTCCCAACAGAATGTCAATCGAAAACGGAAGTGATGCGAACCTACTTAAAAGTGACAACTAAATTGAAGAAGAATCGAAGGGCAAATTTTGCGGAGAAAGGACCTCAAAAACTTCAAAGTCTACGAGACGATGCTCGTTAAAACTTCAACAAGAATCCACCTAGCTCAAGCGGCATGAGGCATTTGAGATACTAGCACATAATAAGGAAGGTCTTTTCCTTCATCTGAAGGATTCGCAGGACCCAACAAGGATCAGCATAACTCAGTCGACCCCATACTATAGTCAGTGTTGCTAGCGAGTTGAAGCAGCATGGCAGATCAAAGTTTGACTACGCAACAATAGTGGCGAAGAGCAGCTAGGAGCCAAGAGGCGTGTTGGAACTGGAGGAGAAGATTGAAGACTCAGCAAAGGCGAGGAGATGTAATGTCTGCAAAGGCTTCGATGAGGATGTCAAAGGAATAAGTGGGGGATAATGTCATAGACAAAGTTGTAGACGAGGTGCTTGATGTAATGCTCATTTATGTCTGTATCTTTCGGTTTTGTTCATGCTTTGCACAGCATGTAGAGGGCTGACAGTAGGCTTAGTAGCTCTATTTTGGTTGGTTTTAGTGGCCGCTTTAGGCTCGTAAACGAAGGTTGTGTCATGTAGGCACTTGTGGGTATGTCGGTCTATAGTGGACCATTTTGGACCCTCTTTTGTGCGACTATTCAGAGCTTGTGAAGTCTATGTTTGTAATTTGCATTGGCTATAAAGCGTTTGCTGAAATGGTTGCTTATGGATCCCAAGTGAAACGCTTTCTCTAACCCGTTCTTTTTGTAGGTCTTAAGGGACCATAAGAGGTTTCAGGGAGGTTGACATTTGCGGATGGACATACAAGGGTGTCGTACGATTTAGGCAAAACCAGTTAAGTTTGTGATAGGACGTTCAATTGCTTGAGAAAATTTATCTTAGACAGAAATCAGGAATTATGTTTTCCAATGAGCAACAATTATACTTGTCAACAGGAAGAAGGAAGGTAAAAGAGAGACGACATTCTATCTGATGCAGTCTTTGGTTTCAGATGTTGTATAGCTGAATCATTATGCTAATTGTCTAGATTTTGTATCCATTCAAGTGCAGGTGGTTGTCAGGAAGGGAGTTGAAAGAAGTTGCTCTTTTCGGTTGTCCATCTCTCGACAGAAAAAGTGTTTGCAGCCAAAAGACTACGTTCTTTCTTCAGCATTCAAGAAGATATTGTAAGTTGGCTTCATACTGAAGTTATGGTCGAAATCGAAAGACCAAATGTTATGCCAAATTTGACGTTTTCTCAATTCTACAGATATGTCGAGGTTGCCAGATGAGAACCTCCTGCAAATTTATGAATCAAAGAGTAAACAGGATGGAGAAGGTGATTCTGTCGGATTCCATGAGAATTCTTGCGTTATTTGCACTTGATGCAGTTCCAACACAGCTACATATCCCCTGTGACTTGAAATCTTCCGTCTGCAAATTGCTGAAGGAGGTAGTCAGTCTTAGTGCTTGACATACGAAGGCGAGAAGTAGTGTCCACTGTTGTTACCGCAAATTTTAGCTGTCGTTGCCTTCCTAGCCTCAAGACACAACATCAACAATCTGAGTGAAAGACCATTTGGCTCATAGGAGGACAAAGGTTTTGGTCATTTTAAAATGCTACAATTGTCTTTTTCATGTTTATTCTGCAAGAATGTGTAATTATTTATTTAGATGAAATGCTCAATTATAAATAAATATAAGTGATAAGATTGCATACATGCATTTTGATGCATGAACGTTTAGGTTTGCAAGTGGCTGTCTTGCGTTGGCATCTCTGTCGCTTTCTGTGTACTAACTAATGAAGCCTTTGTGAATGTGATCTGCAGAGGCTTAATTCGGTCAACATATGTACACAACTATAGGACGATTAAAATCGCAACATATTTATACATACATATTGGAAGAAATGGATGGGAATGTTACCCTTCAGCTTCTTCAGTCATACATGAAAATAAATAATAAATGTGAACACACAGATTGGTTACAACAAACAATGAAAGTGTTCCCAACACAAGGAAAATAATAATAATAATCACATACACTTTTCGCTTCGGTTAAAAAAAATAATTGAGACTTACGGATTTTATTGTTGTATACAACATAGGCATTAACCAAAATATCACTTTGATGAACAACATTTTCACATAACCCTATTTCTATTTCATGTCCACCAAATTACTGGTGCACATGTTTTTGCTATCCACAAAGGCAGCAGCAGAAAACTTACTGTAGCATCAACTCTGGCCCCTTAAGTTGTGCGCATCAAATCCATAAAGGATCGTCCAGCTTCCATTCTTCACAACCAAGCAATTGCAGTGCAGGTGCCATCTCAAAGCACTCTTATATGGAAAAACCATGGAAGAACAAATGCTATCACCAAGCACACGATCAAAAAATTACAGAACCGTTGATTCCCCCACCACCGGCTTGTCTCAGAAGTGGCATCACCGCCCCTTCTCAATGTTCTCCTCTCATGCCATCTCTCCATGAAACTGATGTCCTCTTCGCCATTGATGTTTTTCGCATTGACACCACAAATTTCGCAGCTCCTGTATTAGGAGGTAAAGACATCATGATGTCACTCAAGTTCACTAGTACTTGATCAAAACCTTGAAGCACATAAAGGACTAAATCTTGGAGAGACATATCCTCTCCAAAGCAACTATATAAAACTTAGTACTGACAGAAGATCTATTGTTATTGGTACTGGGACATGACTAAAGAAGATCAGCATAGACCGTAAGGTTAACTAGCAGCAGGGAGGCCTGAATCTTGGTCAATGGGTAGAGTGCCTCTTTCTTCTTCTTTACACCGTCCAAAGTGAAGAAACAGTATAGGGAAACTTAATTCAAATGATAGATGATATGGTTTAAACAAGGTTAATAGGAAAGGACTGACAGGACCGATATAGTTTTATGGGATAAATGTCTTTGTTTGACAGCAAACATATACTAATATGCATGACACTAGGGATCATAAGAGAGATCTAGCAAAAGTGTTGGATATAAAGGAAAACATTCTGGGCCAAGTATGAAAATTTTCTTCTTCAGTTCTCCAAGTTCATGTGGAAGCTTCTGTCCATTGTAAGAATAGGCAGTCAGCTTGCATGAGCACATGATAAGGCCTAGCAACTGTAATATAATTTTTTCTTTTTCTTTAAAGCTATGGATTACTCCAATGATCATACAAAAAAACCCCAACATCCCTATTCACCTTAATCATTTGCCTATCTATCTTAACTATATCATTCATCTTTATAGTATTACTAGTCTTATATGTCATATACTCGATCATAGTACTACTTTAAAACATTTAGTTTCTAAGATTTGAATCTTTAACTCAAGTTTATTGTCAGTCTCATCTAAAATTTCATCCAATCAAATTAGTCAAAATGTAGTATTTTCAAAATAATCGTAAATACCTAAATTTACAACCAAGCTTCGTCATCTCTGAAATTGTTAAAAAAGCAGTGTCCATTCCAGCAAAAAATTATTGAAACACAAAGGACAAGCAACCAGCCAATCATCTATTAATTCAAAATTTCAAATATATATTCTATCCTCCATTAACGACCACATGTACTTGTTCTCTTCATCCAATTGCCAAACCAACAAAAATAAAGCCCATTTGAATAAGCAGGTACTACTTGTAAAAAGACACATGCTGTGTCTTTATGAGCTGGAAACTTGCATGTGGACATAAAGATTGTAAATGTAGGTCAATGATTGATATCATTATTGCAATGAACTTGGACTATATCAGACACTCCAATTAAACCGAGGGGAACATCACACCAAGTGATGATTTTTGGGAGGGGGGGGAGGGAGTTACTGCTTCCCAACTGCTATCAGTCCAATTAAACCGAGGGGAACATCACACCAATTAACTCTAAATTGCAGTTACTGCTTCCCAACAGCTATCATCTAGATAGTGGCAGGTCCTTGCCAAGAAGCTTGAGTTGGTAGGAACAACTTTAGAGTTAGAAATTTAAGCCAACTTATCGCAGGAGTACAATCTGCTTCTCTGATTCCAATCCACTGCAGAGGCTTGGCACCTTCATGCGGATTGAATGTGGAACGAGCCAAACATGGCATCAAGAACCCATAACCCATGGGCAAAGACCAATTCGCTCAACTTAGTTCACAGTTTTTTTTGTCTCAAATAGTCAAGTTGAGAGTTACTTATCTAACCCATAACTTAAGCTATTTATCCTTAAATATATATCTATTCTCAGGAAAAAGAAATGCTAACCGATGATGCCCTGAAAACTCAAACTGATTAAGCTATTGCAGCTGATACCAACATATCTAAGTGAAGGACAGGAAGGACAGAGAGGTGATGCATTCGAAGATAGGGAGGTTGACATGAAAAGCATGGGAGTACATGTATCTTTGTTTGGAGCCAAAAGAAGGTGAGCACACTAGGAATGAATAGACTTTAGGATACGCAAACAAGTCGTCTCAGGTCTACAAATGGTTTTACCAGCATATCCCATAAAAAAGGTGCACATCTGATGAACAAAACATTTCATCTGATCTATTTTCTTTAAGACTGCAACTGCAATTTTGTACTTTGGTGTTCTTGTTTAAACCATGAAGCAATAATGTCGGCAATCATGTTCTTAGGACAACTTCTACCTATTCAAGCGACTGTCATCGATCGGAACAGTAAAAAGGTGAAACTTTGGTGGTCATGCCATTGTTATATAAGATTCCATCAATTTGCTAAATTGTGTGACCGAGTGAAATCATTTCAGTTCATTTCATGTGGAATTTAATCGACGCAGAACTCAATAACTATCTCCTTTGTAGCATTTCCACAAACGGTTTGACTTCAAAGAAGAGGGACCGTATGACATGCCACGAGAGATCAAATAAAGGGTTGGCTATTAGCATTTCTACAAACGGTTTGACTTCAAAGAAGAGAAGGGCCATATGACATCGCACGAGAGATCAGATAAAGGGTACCTGTTGCCTTTTACGCGAAACCAGGCCTCGGCGCAGGGCCGATGCGCGCTGCCGAGCTCCCCTTTGCAGGCGCACCCCAGCTGGATCAACTCCGACGCCTCCGATCCTCCAACGCAGGAGCCCAATTGGCAAATCCGACACAGTTTCTCACTCTCACCCTTCTTAACTCCGCCGACACCGGCCTCCACGTCCCTCTCCTCTCGCCACTCGGCGCCGGCCTGGCGGTCAGAGGGTGCGGGCTCCACCGACCGCACAGCGATCGCCACCGCCTCACCGCCGGGCATCACGACGACGCCCCGAATCCGAGAAGGAAGAAGGGATTTGGATAGAGATGGCGGCGTGGGTTTTGCTGCCCGAGGGTCGTGTTGAGTGTTATCGGAGAGCGACGGGAAACGATCCGTAGTCGTGCGCTGTAACGAGAGAGAGCGCGGCGGAAACGGAGGAAGGCGGCAGGTGGGGAAGCGGACAAGTGCCGATATATGTAAGTATTGGTCAACTCAATTCCATGGGCGAAGTCAACAGAGTTTTGGGTCTAAGTAGATGTAGTCTTTAACACGTAATAATGCACAGTCTAATGGTTGATGGAGACAAAGGAAAGGCACAATCTAATTAAAGATTATGGTGGCTACCGTTGTTTTAATCGAAGAAAAATTAGGTTATTTGCAATTGGATCTTTACCGTCTTTCTTCACAAGTCCAACATATTTTTTTTATTATTTTTTAGCACAAAGGAACAAAAAAATAATAAAAAAAAGAAGCTGTATTACTTAATCACTCGAAATATAGTTTAGGATCTGTCCCATGAAAAAAAAAAAAAAAAAAATCTTGTGATGGTAGGAGCCTTGTTGGTTGCACACACATGTTCCATCTTAATCACCTTTTTAAGGATTTACAAAGATCCAAAATGTCCGTTACTATAGAACGATAACAAAAAATTACACCGTCAATATCGATCCCAAGCCCGGATGTAAAAAATAAAAAAATTATATTAGATCACTGATAATCAACATATAATTATGTCATATCCCATGAATATGAATCTTGACCAATTTCAGTATAGAGCTAGGTTGTCATCGGGACGTGACCCGACGCACCTTCACCGTCTAGGTGTCCCGAATCATAAACCGTGGGCTAAGAGGTCATCACGAAACAGTCCATCATATTGATGCTCAAATGTAGTGCAAGTAGTTAAGGGTTCTTTGTCAACCAATAAAGGTCTAGTTTAGTAACTTGGATTATATGAACATTCAAAAAAAGAGATTAACACTATGATCAAATTAGAAGAAAAATAAATATCATTTGCTTACAAAAATTTAGAGAGATTGATAGTATTGGATATAAAATTTGGTATAGTAGAAAAGATAAATACATAATCTTAAAAACAATGTAGTAGATATAAAAAGATTTGAAGATAGAATTATAGTTCTAAAATTTATCAAAGGACAATATGCATATGTTTTGAATATCATCGGTGCTTATGCCTCTCAAGATATATTAGATGATTAAATCAAAAGAAAATTTTGAGAATATTTAGATGATATCATTCAAGGAATATCTACTACTGAAAACTAATAATTGAAGGAGATTTGAATAGTCATAGGAAAAATGAATGCATGGGTGGCTTTGGTTATAGGGAGAGAAATAAATATGGTAGTATAATTTTAGATTTTACAACTTCGTGGTCTTATTATTGTAAATATTTATTTTAAGAAGAGATATTAATATTTTGTTACTTATAAGAGTGTTACAATTGTAGTTAGAGAGACTTTTTCTCAAAGGTAGATAAAGTTATTTGTATGATTTATAAAATTTTATCTGAATGAAAGTTTGACGAATCAACATAGATCGATGGTATTAGATATTTATTATAGAAAATAAAATAAAAAAAATATATATTTTTTTTTACTAGAATCGGATGGTGAAATTTTTAAGAATAGGGTGGAAAGAGAAGTGATTTGAAACTTAAACAAAAAGACTATGATAGACTAATAAAATTAGGAGCTTAAACAAAATTTTTTTTTTATGAGACTAAAAGTAAATGTATGACTTGTAAGAGAGAGTTGATAGTAATGCAAAAAAGTTCAAGAAGTAATTTTTACAAAAAAAATTATATTTTAAATATTAATAAAATTATAAAAATAAGAAAAAAATTAAAATATATAAAGAATATAAATAGAAGATAAAAAAGTGATTACCATAACAAGATATAAAGCTTATGATAATTTTTATAATAGATATTAAAGATGATGAAAAAGATATATATCAAATTACTAAATATAGGAAAAAAAAGCATAAGGATTTAGGTAACATTAGATGTATAAAAGACAAAGATCAAAGAATACTTGTTAGTGATAATAAAATTTTAAAAAATATTTTGATAAATTATTTAATAAAGATTTCACTTAGGAATTAACCTTAACGATAAATAATAATGATATATATAATAATCATAGATTTATTTATAAAATTAGAGCTAGTGAAGTAAAAGACATCTTAAAGAAGATGAAAATAACTAAGAGTGTGAAACATAATGATATCCCTATTGAGGTCTAGAAAAGTTTAAGGAATAAGGGAGTAGCTTGGTTAACTAAATTATTCAATAAAATGATGAGATTCAGAATAATACATGATAAATGAAGAAAAAGTTTTTTAGTGATGAAACTTTGGGAAAGATTTATTGAAATTAGGATAATGTTTGGAATAAATATATCTAAAAATTAATCTAATTTTATGCCTATCAATTATAGTTTTTAGGCTCCAAGTTTGAATTAGCTTGAAGCCTATAAATACCCCTCTCATCCTTGGTTAAAGCACACAAGCACAGAGAGTTTAAAAGCAAAGAAACGCTATAGAAATCCCTTGTGAGAATCCTCCTCAAGTTCTAAGTGTTAGAATTCTGTAAGAAGAGTGTGAGTGCTTGTAAGGATTGTCTCCTAAACCCAGTAAAAAGAGAAGAGGGGTGTAAAGAGGAGTTGGTCTTCGCTTATTAAAGGAAGACCTCTAGTAGACATCGGTGACCTCGTCGGAGGAGGAAGCCAAAAGTAGATGCAGGTCAAGATTGATCGAACCACTCTAAATCTCGGTTTGCATTTACATTCTGCTCTTTATATTAACTGCAAACTGCCTCCGTTACTTTACATCAACTATACTTCTGTTTCGATCTTAAGTTAAAGTTCTTTCCAAAACGATTTTCATCGAAAAACCATTTAGGGAGTAATAAGGCAGTTTGCTTTCTTCATATGGATTTCATCGAAAAACAGTTTTCATCGAATGAGGTCAAATATAACAATTTAGGGAGTAAATCCTAACAATTTAGTTATGGTTTTCTATTTAAATTAGACGGTTTTTTTTTTCATATGGGTTGGAATACATTAATAATTTATACACGAATAATTTAGTGCTATGGTCCAATGCAGGATCCACATTTGTAGTTACTATAAAATCTACAATGGCTTATGAAATCTCAATAATAATAATAATAATAAAATTATAAGTTTTGATTATTTGAGATCGACTATATTATTATGATCGAGATCGTAAAATCTATATATTTAATTAAGTTTAGAGTATTTGAATCTTTATTTATATTTTACACTAAATACTTCTTAATCTTTTCTTTATCTTTTATCATACCATTAATATTAATCCTTTCATCTTTCTAATTATTATTCGTCTCATAATTATCTTATAATTTTTTCTTTTACTAATGATCGGAATAATATATTCATTGATCTCTCTATCTTTTGATTACTTAAAGAAAATTATTATCCATCCAATATAATATTATTTTCTTATGGATGACTAAGATTGCATCTCATATATTCAATTTTAGTCCTACTTAATTTAAGACCAAAGATTACCTAACTCAAGTTTATAACTAATTTTATTTAAGTTTTCATTAATTATGATGATATCATCATCAAATAATATACACTAGGTCTATCACGTAAATGATGAGTAACTCCATTCATTATTAATGTAAAAAGGAAGAGACTTAATGCATATCCTTAATATAATATTACGACAATCGAAAACTCACTTGGCATAGTTTTTATAATTCTAATGCTATTATCTATATTATTATACCTATCCTTAATAACATCAATATAATTAGTGGACACATTTTTGTTTTCTAAAATCCATCATAATAAATATGTAAGAACTCTATTGTAGGCTTTCTCTATGTCAATAAAAATCATAGACTTGCGCTGGGCGATACCACCGCCCAGGTCTGGCGGTACCACCGCCTGGGGGGCAGTGCTGGGCGGTACCACTGCTTAGCACCCTGCCAAGGGTGGTACAATCGCCCAGATTGATGGTACCACCGCCTGACATAGTCTCGAAGACTGTGCCATGACGGTGAGACTTCTTGGGGCACTGTTTGGGCTTCTTATTGGGCCCAACATAGTTCTTACATGGGCCTACCTGGCCGGTAATTGGTTGGCCCAATCCAAGCCCAATTACGTGTTAATTACGATTCTTAAGACATATTCTAAGCTAAACAAAGTTCGTAAGTCTATTCTTCCGGTGAGCTTCCGGAGATCTTCCGACGATCTCTCGGCAATGTTCCAGCGGACTCCCGGCAAGCTCCTGGACTTCACGACAATCTTCTTGGCGAGTTCCGATGAGCTTCTCTGGCAAGCTCCAAGACTTCTTAGCTAGTTCCTCCAGAACTATCAACGAACATCCGGACTTCCGACAAACTCTCGAACTCCCAACGTGATCGCTTCCTTGACTCTGGGACTTCATTTTGCTTCATGCATTGTTATCGTAGTTAATCCTATACATGTAAACCAAACCTCCAGAACTATCGTCCGATTCTTCGGCGCATCATCCTCTCCTACGACCTATTGCCCAATCGGCCAGTTGACTCTGCAACTCTGATATCCTTGGCGCAATGTCCACTCTTCTTGGCCCGATGCCCGAATCCACGGCCCGAAGCCTTCTGCCGATACATCGACCGATCCACCGGTCCGATGTTCAATCTTCTGACATGTTCCTCCGGCCCAACATGATTTTTTCTTCTTTAATTGTCTCATCCTAATCGAAGCATCCTACGTCACTCAAAATACAGATTAAAACATAAACACAATTATCAATTGGGTTCATCATCAAAATACAAGATTCAACAATCTCCCCCTTTTTCATGATGACAACCAACCGACGACGAAGTTAACCTTAACTCCCGGAGTTTAACCAAACTCCCCCTATCAATATGCTATATTAATAGAAACTCTTGGATTCAAAAATCCAAGCAACATATCATGATCAAATCATGCATGTCATCAACATACTTCTCCCCCTTTGTCATCAACAAAAAGGAGAAGTGCCATAATCAAGTGTTTGTAATATAAGTTCTACACATTGCATGATAAACATAATTTCTAGTTTTTTTATCATCATGCAAGCTTGCAAAAATTTAGAGTTTTACAAGTTTGTAAATTTTGCTAGATGTATAAGTTTAGCATTGTTGCTTCTTGAGATAGGTAAG